ATCCATTATTGAAACTGCTCGAACAATGTTGTTAGAATTCAATTGCCCCAAGTCTCTCTGGGGAGAGGCAGTTAACACGGCTTGCTATGTGCTAAATAGAACAACCATCAGAAAAGAAATAAATAAAACCCCTTATGAGATCCTAAAAGGAAAACCTCCCAAACTGTCTTACTTTCATCCGTTTGGCTCCAAATGCTTTGTTTTGAATACTAAGGAAGCTGTTGGTAAATTTGATGCTAAATCTGATATAGGGATATTTTTTGGATACTCTAGCAAAGGCCAAGCATATAGAATTTTCAATAAAAGGTCTAGGAAAGTTGAGGAATCTGTGCATGTTAGATTTGAATCCTCTCTTCCTCCACTGGCCTTACACCCTAATGTTGACAACTATGACTTCTTGCCCCTTAGTAATTCTGTTGAGACAGGTAATAAAACAGACAATGAGCAAACCGAGCTTAACAACTCAGTGCCTTCAGAAGAAGAATCAAAAGCTCACCAGGACAGTGTGGAAGCCCCACCCCACATCAGAAACAGACATCCTCCGTCCCTAATCATTGGTAAATTATCTGATCCTATTAAAACCAGAGGAAAACACATCCCAGGTCAGTATGCCTTCGTCTCTCTACTTGAACCTAAAAACTTTAAGGAAGCTGTCATGGATGAAGAGTGGCTTCTTGCTATGCAAGAAGAGCTCTCTCATTTTATTAGACTGAAAGTGTGGGAATTAGTACCTAGGCCCCTTAACATCACCATAATTGGAACTAAGTGGGTCTTTAGAAACAAATCAGATGACCTTGGATACATAATCAAAAATAAAGCAAGATTGGTTGCTCAAGGGTATAATCAAGAAGAGGGAATAGATTATGATGAAACTTTTGCACCTGTTGCCAGGCTTGAATCAATTAGACTTCTCTGTGCTTATGCAAGCCACATGAACATTAAATTATATCAAATGGATGTGAAAAGTGCTTTTCTAAATGGTGAAATTAAGGAGGATGTCTATGTTGAACAACCCCCTGGTTTCATTGACAGTGAATTTCCTGATCATGTGTATAAACTGTCTAAGGCGTTGTATGGCCTTAAGCAGGCACCTAGGGCTTGGTATGATAAATTGACTTCATTCCTAATATCACAAGGTTTCTGTCAAGGAGGAGTGGATAAAACCTTATTCATTAAACACAAAAATACCCATTCATTGCTAGTTCAGGTATACGTGGATGATATTGTCTTTGGAAGCACTAGTCCTGATATGTGTGAAGAATTCTGTTCTATCATGAAAAATAAGTTTGAAATGAGCCTTATGGGTGAGCTAAACAACTTTCTAGGGCTGCAAATACTTCAAACTGATCTAGGGATATTTATTCATCAGTCTAAATATCTTCAGTCTATGCTGTCAAAATTTGAGTTAACCAAGGTCAATCCCATTAAAACTCCTCTTGCATCTAATACACATTTAGATTATGATGAGGCAGGAACTCCTGTGTGCGAAAAGAAATTTAGAGCAATGATTGGATCACTGCTCTACTTGACTGCAAGCAGGCCTGATATACAGTTTTGTGTCTGCCTGTGTGCTAGATTTCAACACCATCCAAATGAAAGCCACTTAACTGCTGTAAAAAGAATATTTCGATATTTAAAAGGTACTTGTGATCTTGGGTTGTGGTACCCCAGGTCTGAGTCTCCCTCTCTAGTAGGGTACTCAGACTCTGATTTTGCTGGTAGCATCACTGACAGAAAAAGTACCAGTGGTACTTGTCAGTTCTTTGGTCAGTCTCTGGTGTCCTGGTCAAGCAAAAAACAAGGGTCAGTTGCACTGTCTACAGCAGAAGCTGAATATGTTGCTGCTGGTAGCTGTTGTACTCAAATATTATGGCTAAAATCTCAACTTCAGGACTATGGTCTTAGTTTTGACAACATCCCTATACTGTGTGACAACACCAGTGCAATCTGCATGTCAAAAAATCCTGTCCATCACAGTCGAACTAAACACATAGAAGTTAGACATCATTTTATTAGAGAAGTAATACAGGCTGGACACATTGAACTTAACTTCATATCCACTGATTTCCAAATTGCTGATATTTTTACAAAACCACTTCCTTCTGAACGCTTTATCAAACTATGTGGGGAACTGGGGATGCAATCTCTGCGCTCAATCCAAGACCACATCTAAACCAGGTTCTTTCCTTCCTTTATTACTAGTCTTACTTATTAATTGCATTTGCCCTGCGTTCTCACTGTTCGTCTATGATTAAATGCTTAAAATGGATGTTTGGTTTTTCCATGCTCCTTGATTGCCCTCGTTGTCCATGCTTTTTTGATTGCCCTCGTTGTCATGCTCTACATTGCCTATAAATAGTGACCTCTCCATAGTTCTTTTCTCTGCAAACTCTCGATCATCAGAAAAACTAATCATGACTGACCTGTTCACCTCCTCCAATATTCCTGGTGCAATTGTCACCTATGTGGGGAGGACCTTCAATGAGCCCATTGATTTTAATCTCCATCGATTCAAAGAGTTCTTTGCCTCTCGGCCTCTTGCTGATCCTATTTATCTTGACTCTTTTGAATTCAAATCCCTGGGCATTGATATAACCCCCTTCATTCGAAACCTTGGGTGGGAGTTCTTGCTTCACTACCCCCGTCTTGCTGCCTGTCCTTTGCCTGTTCGATCATTTTATGCCAACCTTGACTGTCAAGGAATCACAACTCGCAAACTCTCAACCCTAGTAAATGGCTATTTCATCTCTCTCACCTCAGAGGCTATTGGCCTTCTGCTGAATCTTCCAACAGGGGGACCTCTTCCTTTGGCTCATGAGGATGAGTTTCTATTCTATGATTTTGACCATGTGGTTGAATACTCACGTATCACTCAGCGCCCTGTTGCTGCTAATGAGGTCATTACCTCTGCTGACCTGAATCCATCTCTCCGCACCCTTCACTACCTCATCACTCATGTGTTCCTACCCCGCAATCATGGCCAGAACATTGTCACCAAGATCGATCTATGGGTTCTCTCTAATGCCCTCACAGGTAGGAAGATTGACTACACACAGCTGCTGTTTGGTTCCTTAGTTCGAAGTGCTGATGCCCATCTTGGTGGACGTCTCCCCTATGGTGGCTTTATCACGCTCCTCCTATCTAACCTAGGGATCTCCCTAGATGGCTACTCTACCATTGATACCTCTGTCTCAATTCATGCTCTCACTGTTCTTCAATTCCTTCATATTGAGCCTCAGCCTTCGAAAGGGGGAGACACTTCAGGACCCGCATTAAAGAAGCTCAAACCCAAATCAATCTCCAAAATTAGGGATCTTGGTGAAACCTCATCTGTTTGCAAAAATCTCCTCATTTCCTTTGAAGATGACGAGGCTGAACTTGAACCAGAATCCATATCAGAGAAAGAAATAAAAGTGTTTGCTGAAGACCTAGAGAGAGAACTAATGGAAGATGATACTGATACTCAAGTCGAAAGAGAATTGGACGAGGCTGCTGGGACGCAGGGGGAGACTGTGGTCACTCAGCCTGCAAATGATGAAGCACAGACCTAAGTCTCAGGGGGAGTCAGAGTAACCAGCCTCTAAGAAAGCTGATCTTAAAGAATAAATGTTTAAGTATATGACCATCGTTTGAGTGTTAAAGACCATAAAGGTCTATTTGATTGCTATGTTTATCAAGACCATAATGGTCTAAGTTTATCTTCATGTTCTTGGATTAGGGAAAACATTTACAAGCAAGGAGCTTGTTAGGAAAGTTCTCAGGTCACTTCCTCTTGAATGGATGGCCAAAAGAACTGCCATAGAGGAAGCAAAGGACCTTAATGTGCTTTCACTTGAAAGCCTCATTGGCTCACTCCTTAGTCATGGAGAGAGTTCATTTGTTTGAGAACTTCTTCATGACTAAGGAGTGAGCCAATGAGGTTTTCAAGTGAAAGCACATTAAGGTCCTTTGCTTCCTCTATGGCAGTTCTTTTGGCCATCCATTCAAGAGGAAGTGACCTGAGAACTTTCCTAACAAGCTCCTTGCTTGTAAATGTTTTCCCTAATCCCTTAAGTCTATTGATCAAGGTAGAAAACCTCTTGTCCATGTCAGAAATAGATTCACCAGGGATCATGTCGAAAGTTTCATATTCTTTGATTAATAGGTCAATTCTAGTTTCCTTAACTTCTGAGGTACCTTCGTAAGTGGTTTCTAAAATTGACCAAATTTCTTTAGCTGACTCACATTTATTGACCCTTTCACCCTCATCTTCAGAAATAGCAGAAAGTAGAATATGCATAGCCCTAGAATCTAGTTGTGCACTTTTCTTTTGTGCATCTGACCATTCCTCCTCATCATCCTCTTTCATGTCAATTGGTCCATTTCGGACAATTGCCCAGAGTTCACAGTCGATTCCTCGGAGGAACAATCTCATTCTCTTTTTCCAAACAGAGTAGTTGGAACCAGAAAACCACGGAGGGTTTGAGCTGGTAGGGAACGAATTTGTAGACATAGTGAGCAGAGGATCTCCTTCTCAGCAACTATTAGTTCTATTGAGAAGGAGGCTCTGATACCAATTGTAGTTTCACTATGTATCTAATTCCATGGTCATTATCAATATTAAAGATGAAGATTAGATCAGAATCAATTCTCAATTGTATTAAAAACTGGAGATTGCAAAACCTAGCCAGAATAGAATAGAGAAGAGAGATCACTTGATCAATTCAATACAGTTGAGATGAGCAATCATAAATCAAACAAAGAAGACAACGCGCTATGCCCAGACAAGCTTGAGTCCCTGGCCACAGCCCCAACTCAAGCTTTCCAGACACTAACAAAGACCCAGACCTAGACTCTCAAAGAGACAGAACACTCTTACTGAGAATAGGAAACCCGCGCCTTGCTTCTTCCCTGTGCCTTTCTTTAAATAGACTCGAAAGAGCCTTTCTGCCACCCTTCTTCAATGTATGTTTCCATTGCAGAGGAATTGATGATGGAGAAGATCGAGGTTGGAGTTTCTTGTTTTAAGGTTTTTGATGCGGCTGATGACAGAAGTGAAGACGATGAAGCGCTTCTGTCTTTTGTCGAGTGCAAGGCTGGTCAAATGGGCTTAAGTGCTCGACTGGGCTTTTATGGATCCTGTAGCAAGACAGGGCCAAGGCCCAACACAACCTAACAAAGCTCCCCAATTAAACGTTAAACCCAGATACGCTTGAGGCTGGACATCATATATAGATGACAAAACATTGCAACCCATCACAAAAACATCAGGTCAAGCAAGTACACACTAGACTAGAGCAATGGAATAAGCCACCTCATGAGTCATGATGCTTACCCAAAAGGTGAACCTCTTCATACGAGAAAACCAGTAACAATGATGATGCTCCCAAAATCTTGCTGTAAAACATCAACTATTCATTAAAAAAACCAACCTGGGAAAAAACAAAAACAGTTTCTTGTAAACCTAGGATTAGAGGACACAAATATACTACACCCTCATTCAGTTGATTCTACACTGCGTTCAGCAAAACTAAAGCCAAAAAGAACCCCAGAACAGTACAGCTCATGCACCCTAAAACCGGCACTAACAAATATCAAAGATCATAACTTCAGCCTGTTGTAGAAAACTAAAGGACGGCATCAGATCAGATAAACTAAATAGTAAACCCTTGGAAGCTAGATAAAAGAATTAGATTGATTAGAAACCAACCTGTAATCATTCGGTTGAAGGAGAATTCCAAGACCCAAAAGCAATTGAGATGAGAGCCGAGGAAACATAGACCCTGAAATGGTGTCAAAAGACCACTAGCAATCGGCCGTAACATGGTGTGTTCTACCTGCATTTCAAGAGTTCTCACTATCATCTCTTCGGAGCAAGCTACCAATCCAACTCAGATTTCAATGAAAATCTTCAGCTAATGCATAATACCTTGGTGTCAATATCCTCTACCTGCATTTCTAAAGTTAGAAAAGCAAATTCCCACAGAAGAAAAGAAAAGAAGGTTAATCCAAGACTCTGGGCCTGCTTTTACAGCCCGGCTTCGGCTCCGGCTCCGGCTCCGGCCCGGCCCATTCTTGCATACATTTCCCCAGCTCGGCCCAAACAACAAGCACCAATATGTGAAGAACGCGTAGAGATTTGTCGCGACAGCAAGGAGGTTCTTGTTCCAAATTTTGCTTCGTCAAATTCAAACATGCAAGTAATTACTCCTCGTATTTGTGTTCTATTAAGTCGTAAAATATACCACAAATTTCGTTATGTTACATGGTACACGGGGCTCGCAATTGCCAAAGCCATGTCCTTGTGCTGTGCTACTGACTAATACAAAAGAAAGAATATGGCTCCTTGTCCCTAATTCGTTCCAAAGAAAGACACTATGATTTCTCCTAAGAATTTGATGGAAAACATCATAATATGTCGTTAGTTTCAAAAACCAAATGGTGACTTCCGCCGACTCCCTCCTTCCCCGTATTGTTCGTTCCATTTGCGCAACTCGTTCATGCTCGCAGCATCAAATGCAACGGAGGGACCAACCTGTTAAGACCACAAGGTGGGAGAACAATCAAACAACCACTTGAGTCTTGACAATAGAGATGAAAAGGACTCAAATCAAACACCACTTGACAAACACAATGTTCGCTTTGCTGTAAGAAAATGTTGCAGTAGGGTAACTGTTCAGTTACCTTAGCCTTCGACTGAACGAAATCGTCCAACGTGAGCGGTCTTAATGCTGGACCTTGAGCATTGTCATGTTCCTATAGAGATTAGCACGAAAAACCTTGTCATGTTTGCAGCAAGCTGAACTGTATAGTTTCAACTCGTACTATGGGCCAAGTTAGAGCGATAGAGACCAAGAAGGAACAAGCATTCAAAGCCGAAAAACTGATAGGAGGAGGGGATATTCCATTTTTCAGTAAAATGTTTAAGTTACAAGACACATTACCGTGTTTTCTTTTTCTAGGACTTCTTGCACCGGTCGATATGCTGCTGCAATACAGAGGTTCTACAAAAGTGAAGCAGAAGACAAAGTTAATAGTTGTCTGCAGCTACACAATCCAAAGGCTCGTATTAACCATCAATTGTGTACCTTTAAGTCGCTCCCAGAGTATCCTTCAGTTACATTAGCAAGTTCTTCAAACTGGAAATCCGTTTGTAAATTCTCGTTTCCTAGGATTATTTTCAGGATCTTCATACGATTCTCAGCATCAGGCAAGTCGACGTATATTCTGAAATGGCCGATTCAGAAGAAGCTCCATCAGAGAAACGGTCTTGGCAAATTAAACAGCATTGCTATGTGACAATTGACTCTGCACACAGAAGACTGTTGTTCCTAAAAAATTCTTACCTCCTAGGTAAACGACGAATCACAGCATCGTCAAGATCAAATGGTCGGTTCGTAGCACCGAGAATGAGGATCCTTTGACTATCTTTGGATCTTAATCCATCCCATGCCGCCATGAACTCATTTCTCATTCTTCTTGTTGCTTCATGCTCAAATGCACCACCCCGCGCACCTAGCAAACTGTCAACCTATGTTCGCCCCAGGTTGGAAAAAGTCAAAAAGATACCCCAACTTATGGTTGATTGGAAATAGGTACAATGGCTATATTTATAGTTAACCTATTTTGCAAATTGCGGACATCAACATGTAAATAGGGAATACTCTTCATTTTCCCTCAGCATATTGATTGTTTCAGTATTCCAACCATCAAAATGACAAAGATGGGGAAACCATGAGTAGAGAGAGAGAGTGATTAGGAACCTACCTCATCAACAAATATGATTACAGGAGCCAACTTGCTGGCAAAGGAGAAAAGGGCCTTTGTCAACTTCTCAGCATCTCCGAACCACTACATCACAAGGATAAGGAGGCTGAGAAAGCTACCAGAGTAAAGATGTAACACATTCTGAAATGCATGCTTACTAGGGAGTAATAAGACCCTAATTTATGTCTATAAGGAAAGAATGATCAATCTTTTTAGAACATTACATGTATGCAAACGTAAAATGAACTTACAAGCATTAACAACTTATGTTTACATGATAGCATATAGTTTCTTCAGCGTACCTTTGATGTAAGAGTTGAGCCTGTTATGCTGATAAAGTTTGCCCCAGCTTCCGTGGCAAGTGCTTTAGCAAGCAGAGTCTTCCCAGTTCCAGGAGGTCCAAAAAGCAATATTCCTTTGCAAGGCTGTAGAATAAAATGTATTAGAACAATTATCAAATCAATAAAGCATTAAGAATATTTACTCCCTTCCGTTATCATAAAATATTCAATACCCTCAGCAAATTCCCATGAGAAAAAAGCTCTGGCCTCCTCATTGGGAGAATAACAAGTTCATTCAAGGCCTTCTTCACATCCTCGAGAGCTCCTACGTCATTAAATCTGACACCAATCTCCCCAGGTGGTACTACGGCTGAAACAAAGTTGGTTTCATATTCATCCTTTGCCATGTTCTGTCATATTTTAAACGAATTAGAGAAGAACGCAACCAAGAGCATAAGCCATCCAACAAATTGACAGACAGTTAATCAAACATGCCTTCAAACTTTGAGATGGCTTTCTTGATACGCTTTCGTGATCTTTCAACCTCAAGATAGCAACTTCAAGGCTTCACAAGGAGAGAAAAGGACCAATAAGCTTTCAAGGGAGATTTTCAATATGTAAGCAAGGGTAAACTTTCCCTAAAATCAGCATTCACTTATAAATTATGCACACCTTTGGCGAGGCAAAACCAATCTTTCCCCTTCAACAGATGGAAGTAGGCAAGAAGCCAGATGGTGATTCTTGGCCCAGCCAACAACTTTCTCGGCTTCTGTTAAAAAAGTAGGTCCAAGTTACAATGAATCATCCATCGTGCTACTATCACTTGGAAAACAGAATTTGAACACAGAGTGGGATTGTCTAAAGTATGCCACTTACTCTGCTTAGTCAGAACAACACCGTCACTATCTAAATCCAATATGTCTGCACATGACATCTCATTTTCATCAAGAACCTGCAATTATAGATCCAAAGATAATATTTTCATGGCTCTAGTTACTGATCATCAAATGCTAACAGAAGAAGTCTAAGAAATAATACATCATATTAAGTTACCGAACAAGTTCAAATTACCCTATACCTTATGTAATTCATTTATATTGCTCCTTGATATCACAATCTTCCTATCCTCTTCAATCTGTTTGTTGAACGTTCTAAGGATATCATCTTCCTGCAAGGGCAAACAGACAGTGAAAAGACTGAGGAGACGAAGGAAAATAGTAAATACAGACTCATCGTCCCAAAAAATTTAGCAATCATCTGAGCTTCACAGAACATGTCTTCCAACATTCCTAAATTACTTCTTTACATCCAGCTTCTATGGATTCTGCAGTAAGGTGTCCATTGGAGCATTACTGTTTAACGACTGAATCGGCTTCCAATAGTGTAGCATGATTATTTGATAATGAGTAACAAGAAATTCCCATTGTCAAGAGAAAACAAAATTCCACTATCAGCTAGTAAACTCCACAACTTAAGCTTAGAAAACCAAGAAGAAACTTTTCCCTTGTATATAACACCATATGGCCCTACAAAACTTCAGTTCTATGTGATGAGAACAATAAGAAAACAAAGATATCTGGATTTCAGAATAAAATACACAAATCAGGAAATTATAACTTACCTTGGGCGGATCAATACGCAAAACATTTGTAAAGAGCTTGTTAATTTCACTGTAACTGGATCTCTTAGTTCCTCTCAGACCTTCAGTGAGTTGCTTCAGAGGAAGAGGCTGAAAGCAAAAGCAATAGATGAAAATATCAAGTACAAGAAAACTGCACAAATTTCCACCTAAAGAGACATAAAAAACAACAATAGAATAGTTAAGCCAAGAGTATGGGACTTCTGGAGAAATTAGTGAGGCTTACCAGCTTAGCCAGTCGTCCAAAATTTGGAAGTATCATTGTCTGCCCACCACATAAAAAAGCAAAACAAGAGTAAGCTAACAATATCCAACCAAGGAAAAACTGCTGCTTTCACAAAATTAGGTCAATATTCGTCTATATTCATAAAAAGCACTAAATCTTACAAATTTCTCTTTCTCCTTCGAACCAGTTTCAACTTTGTTTTGACCACTTATCATGACAACAGGACCAGAAAGCTGGTCAAACATTTCCTGCATCTTCTGGACAAACTCTTTGCGGTTGTCCTTGGGTACGGCCCTAGACAACCACAGTGAAAAATCTGGGAAATATACAATGAGAGGCTGCATGCTCCGCAAGATCTGCAAAGAGTTCAAGAGCAAATGTCAACTCACAAAAAGATTGAAGACTAGGGAGTTTGAACCCAAAAACTCCAAACAATATTTCATACAGTCCCAAGAATGATCTCCTTTATATACCTCGTATAATGCCTCTAACGCAAGATAACAATCTTCGGCCTCCGCGTCAGGGTCATGCTCAATGTCCTTAACTATGCATGAGCAAGTCTCAGTAAATTTTGATATTTTTGGTGAAAATAAAAAAAATAGCACATCATATTCCCCAATAGACTAATGGTCCTGTGCAAATAAACTTCATCAGTTTGGCATTCTAAGTACGGTAAGCATAAAAGAGAAAATGAAAATAGTGACTGGAAATCATGTCATGACAGGTCATGCCCTCATAAATGACATTATGGATGAAAAAGATAATCCGACAACATAAAACTTTTTTTATGCAAGAAAAACATGGATACATAAATCTCATGATCTTAAAATCAGTCTAACTTATATGTCTGCACCATTTATTTCATCAGAGATACAGTTCCAAGAATGATAGGTTTTTGTTTCAAATTATACAGAATCCTTTTAA